GTGACTAATGTCCACCAAATTTGTATAAATAATGATGGAGGTTTATATACTTAAAGATTTTCATCAACTCAAACTATGTGGAGTTTATCGTATATTTTTACCTAAACATATTGAGTTGTTGTTGAAGTGGAACTATTAATTGGTCCAGAAGGTCATCTGCTATTCTTTTTCCTTGGTCAAGTTTTGTCCCAAAAGGTTTTCTTGGCCAAAAGTTATAATAAAGTATTTTGAGGGTTTTAAAGAATGAGAAAGATACATAATATTCATAAGACTATTATCCTCTAGATGAGTGATTTAATATTAGTTCAAAAGATAGTACTCTGAAGGTATTAATTAGTCCTTGTGAGGTCGAACACTTGATTGGTTCAGAAGATCAAATCCAACTGTACTCTTTTTCTTTAACCAAGTTTTGTCCTATATGGTTTCCTTGGTCAAAGGTTTTAACGAGGCAATTTGTGATTCTCAAACAACATATTATGATATATAAGACTTGGAATATTATTATTCTCAAAAAGTGTGAATTTAAAAGTAATCCAGAAGATTAGGCCTTGAAGGTTAATGGCTGCACTCTTTTCATTTACTAAGTTTTTCCCACGTGGTTTTCTTAGTTCAAGGTTTTTAATGAGGTGGTTGTATAACACATTGTTTTACATATATTATATACTCTTTTCCTTGATTGGTTTTTTCCCAAAGGGTTTTCCAACAAGATTTTTAATGAGGCATACACATTTTATAATCTTCATTCGAGAAGCTAGTAACTAGATTGGATCGAATTGGATTTAACAAGTCCTGAAGCAATGCAGTCAACATGGGGAGTATACATGCGTTGCACTCGTTTTCCTTTGATCAAGGTTTTGTCCCACTGGGTTTTCTTCGGCAGGGTTTTTAACGAGGCAACGTTTTCAAGCGCGTACAAAGAGAATGATGTATGATATCATAATTTTTGTAATGTAATTTTTTTAGTAATGTAAATCCAAGGGGGGGTGTTATGTAATGTATATGGATGTCCATTACACTATCTAGCCCATATTATGTAAGGGTCCAGTCCGTATTACATGTAGGCATGTAGCCCTACCCCTATTCCCCTTGTATATATACCTCATACTTCCTCCGAATCTATTTAGCTATCCCACTTTTTTTGGGACGTATCAAATTAATTGTCTCATTTCCTCTTTTGGAAAGAAACTCACTCAAAAAGCAGCTACAGTACCGCTACAGTACCAAAACATTTTACTTTTCATATAATCTACAATAATTATCTTAAACTACATTAAAAACAAACATGTCAATTAAATAGATATGGAGGGATTATATGTTAATGAAAGGTGTACGGATTCCTTATTCTTCAACAATTATATCATTTATATGTAAGTCTTTATCTTTGTGCTAGGCGGGAATGAGATGACTTAAATGTGTCGAAAATATCTGCTCATAGGAGTCCTCTAAAAGCTCAACAAGATTGGGTGGAATCACTACGAAAGCTTCTTCAAAAAGGTATGGAGCAGCGGTTAATTACAGGTTAATTACAAGAGACAACGTTAAACAGAAGTAAAAAAATTGTGGTAATGATTCAAAACTAGGCGTGGACCCAACCGGTTCGGTCCGTCCCGGAACCGGACCGGCCCGCTACTGTGCGGGCCCGGGATTTTACCTGATCAGCGCGGGTGTGGCGGGCCGGGCTCGGGCCACATTTTTCTTGAACCGGCCCGACCTTTTTTTTCAATTTTTTTGTTTTTCTTGGTTAGGGCTTGGTGTTTTGGGAGGGTTTGGGGTGGGGTGAGGGGGGTCGGGGTTAATTAGAAAGTAAAAAAACATAGAATTGGGCCCGACCCGGACCCGGTTTATACCCGTGTCGGTTCCTGTTCACCCTTTCCCAAAAAAAGCCCGTCCGGGTTCGGGCCCGGTCCGGAATCGGTCCGGCCCGGGTCCACCCCTATTCAAAACTAGAGAACTCTGTCGATATTGAGGCATGAGGCGAAAATGTAACAAACTTAAGGGCCTCACGAGCAAAATATTCAAGGAAAAGAGCTTCCAAGAAGTAATTATAGAATTACTTTCAATTATCATGATCTTTTTCAGTTATTTTATACTCTCTCCGTCCCGAAAGGTTCTCACATCTCATATTTGTATGTTCTAGAGGTTCTCATTTCATCTTAGAAAATAAGTTACTCTCTTTATTACACTTGTAATCAAGTTTCTCTTTCTTACTCATTACATGTGAAGCCTCATTAGAAGACCAAATGCAAGTGTACTTTTTTTTCTTAACCAAATTTTGTCCTATATGGTTTTCTTGGTCAAAGGTTTTAACGAGGCAATTTGTGATTCTCAAACAACATATTATGATATACGGAGTATAAGACTTGGAATGTTATTATTCTCAAGAAGCGTGAATTTAAATGTAATCCAGAAGATTAGGCCTTAAAAGTTAATGACTGCACTCTTTTCATTTACTAAGTTTTTCTCACGTGGTTTTCTTAGTTAAAGGTTTTTAATGAGGTGGTTGTATAACACATTGTTTTACATATATTATATACTCTTTTTCTTGATTGGTTTTTTCCCAAAGGGTTTTCCAACATGATTTTTAATGAGGCATACACATTTTATAATCTTTCATTCGAGAAGCTAGTAACTAGATTGGATCGAATTGGATTTAACAAGTCCTGAAGCAATGCAGTCAACAGGGGGAGGGGGAGCAGGGATGGAGCTATTTGTTAAGCTAAGGGGGCCATGGCCCCTCCCTTTTTTTATATTTTTTCTTAAGTAGTATTATTATAATATTTTTTTGCCACCCTCCATATAAAATTGTGAAAGACTATTACCAAATACTCTGTAATACTAATGTTTTTTTGTAATCAATTATTATTATACAGAGTAGTAAGTAATAATTACTTGATATAAAAGCCAAACCTCGAGTGAAATTTATTAACATGAAATTATTAACAAATATATAAATCATGTGAGAAGTTCACAAAACTAAGTTATAATTAACCTGCAGTTCATTTCTACTTAATTTGAATATTATACATGAATATGAATTAGTATTGGTGTATCATTTCATATTGGTACAATATGTTTATATTTTATAGAAAGATTTGCACTTTTAGTCTCGTAACTTTCGGGTATGACCGTTACTAATCGTGCAACTTTACTCTCTTGTAATTTTGTTCCTATAACTAATACTCTCTCCGGTTCTGAAAGATCTTTACACTTTCCATTTTTGGAAGTACCAGAAAGATCATTACACTTCTTATTTGCCTTACAAATCTACACAAAACAGTGCCAAACAGTGTCAAATGGTACCAAATAGTGTCAAACTCCTTAATATTTGTGAAATCAAAGTGTAAAGATCTTTCAGAACCGGAGGGAGTATAACTATGCAGTTTTAGAACGTGTTCACTAGAAAGTACATTTTATAACCGAAAATTCGACATCAGCATCATATTTTTCGATACTTTTTGTCCACCCTAGTTTATTTTTTATAGTTGTATTATATTATGGCCCCCCTTGCGCTCAAGTCTGGCTCCGCCCCTGAGGGGAGTATACACGTGTTGCACTCTTTTTCCTTTGATCAAGGTTTTGTCCCACTGGGTTTTCCTCGGCAGGGTTTTTAGCGAGGCAGCGTTTTCAAGCGCGTACAAAGAGAATGATGTATGATATCATAATTTTTGTAATGTAATTTTGTTAGTAATGAAAATCCTAGGGGGAGTGTTATGTAATGTAGCCCTACCCCTATTCCCCTTGTATATATACCTCATACTTCCTCCGAATCTATTTAGTTATCCCACTTTTTTTTTGGACGTATCAAATTAATTGTCTCATTTCCTCTTTTGGAAAGAAACTCACTCAAAAAGCAGCTACAGTACCGCTACAGTGCCAAAACATTTTACTTTTCATATAATCTACAGTAATTATCTTAAACTACGTAAAAAGCAAACATGTCAATTAAATAGATATGGAGGGATTATATGTTAATGAAAGGTGTACGGATTCCTTATTCTTCAACAATTATATCATTTATATGTAAGTCTTTATCTTTGTGCTAGGCGGAAATGAGATGACTTAAATGTGTCGAAAATATCTGCTCATAGGAGTCCTCTAAAAGCTCAACAAGATTGGGTGGAATCACTACGAAAGCTTCTTCAAAAAGGTATGGAGCAGCGGTTAATTATAGGTTAATTACAAGAGACAACGTTAAACAGAAGCAAAAAAATTGTGGTAATGATTCAAAACTAGGCGTGGACACAACCGGTTCGGTCCGTCCCGGAACAGGCCCGGCCCGCTACTGTGCGGGCTCGGGCTTTTACCTGGTCGGGGCGGGTGTGGCGGGCCGGGCTCGGGCCACATTTTTCTTGAACCGGCCCGGCCTTTTTTTTCAATTTTTTTTGTTTTTCTTGGTTACAGCTGGCCGTTTTGGGCGGGTTTGGGGGTGGGGGTGAGGGGGGTCGGGGTTAATTAGAAAGCAAAAAAAAACATAGAACCGGGCCCGACCCGGACCCGGTTTATACCCGGGCCGGTTCCTGTTCACCCTTTCCCAAAAAAAGCCCGTCCGGGCTCGGGCCCGGTCCGGAATCGGTCCGGCCCGGGTCCACCCCTATTCAAAACTAGAGAACTCTGTCGATATTGAGGCATGAGGCGAAAATGTAACAAACTTAAGGGCCTCACGAGCAAAATATTCAAGGAAAAGAGCTTCCAAGAAGTAATTATAGAATTACTTTCAATTATCATGATCTTTTTCGGTTATTTTATACTCCCTCCGTCCCGAAAGGTTCTCACATCTCATATTTGGATGTTCCAGAGGTTCTCATTTCATCTTAGAAAATAAGTTACTCTCTTTATTACACTTGTAATCAAGTTTCTCTTTCTTACTCATTACATGTCAAGCCTCATTGTATGTTTACTTTTTTTAAATTTTCTTTTGTTTTCTTTTTAACCCAAATTACTTTATTTAACCATTTGTCTAAAAAGTTGTGTCATTTACTCATGGGCACCTTCCAACAGGACTCGGGGAATACATAGATTGCAAGATTATATAACCATGCAAGTATGCAACATAGATGCTATTCTGCACTATAAATAACAACGGTTATAACGGTGCACACTACAAATGTTATTCAGTAACTCTAGCTTGTTACATGAGAGTTTCTAGGTTGATATTATTTTTTAATACACATGTAAAAACAAAATAAATTAACTTATAAGAACTACTTTGATAGTTAACACTTTTCTTAGGAAAATCCTTACTGGTTCATCTGAGCGAACGAACTCATGATCGACCTTTGAGAATCAGAACTTAGCCATAATGATCTCTCGCATAAACTCTTCGGGCGCTGTAGAAAATCATGAAAATAAAAATGTCTCAAAATATTGTAGCATACCAAGTTTGTAGTATATGTGCTCGTTGTTAGGCTTGTCATTGGAGCTTGATAAATTCTGATGCCATATTAATGGTGTTTCGTTTTAAATGGTCAAATTGATACAAAGTGTAGTTTAAGATCTTGGAAGTCAGAATGTATTTTGTATTCTATTGAGATGTGATTGTAAAACTAACTTGAAATCATTAAATGCTCCATATATATGTATGTGGCATATAAAGAGGATTCAACTTTTAAAAACCTTTGTGACCAGTGAAGAGATGGAACTGGGCCATGGCCTGACGGAGAAACATTTCAACTCCACTGACAGCAATCGCTCCAGCGGCCTCCGCTGCTTTCAGTAGAGTAGTCTTCCTCGGGGTGTAGACGGCATCAAAGACAACTCGGTAACTGCTTAGTGTTTCCTAGAGAAAAAGAAAGGTTTATACAGTTTAGTCTCGTCCTCATTCATTCAAACGAAAGATGGCTTAGTAATAATATCTACTAAATGTGTGTGTATAGTGCAGTTCAAATAAGTGTGTTTCTGGTAAATGTGAAACGTGTTTGATTCAACAAGTTACAGTTTCTGTGTCCAGTAGTGCATTTCTTTGAGAAGTTTGATGTATTTACAAATATGTCGTGACCATTTTTGGTACTGCATTATTCTCATTTTAAGAGCTTTTATACTCATAAATTCTAAGCATCAGATTCATACTTATTTCTTACATTGAATCATTTCTATTTTTATACCGATATGTATGTGTGTTTACACGAGAAGTATATATGAAAAACCTCAGCTACAGGGATGCGGTCTGTGTTTGGATGCATTCCCATTGGTGTGGCATTTGCAAGGATGGAACCCATCTCAGGTTGGAAAGAAGGCAAACCTTCAAATGACTGAGCTTCGCCCGACACTGCCTCCGCGAGAGCCTTTGCTCTACCTTTTACATGCACCAGAAGAAATTAAGACACTATATAAGTTGTCATGTGGTGCTGCTACCATCACAAAGTTCATATTTTTGTGGGTGGTAGTATGACAAGAAAAAATGTTAAGCTGCAGAATAACACAAGATTCATCATTTATATAAGGCAGTATTAAAGGAAGGAGAACAGTAATAGAGTATGGATAGCAGTTAAGTACTCTAACATACCAAAGTCAATGTCGAAAATTATAACCCGAGCACCCCTAGTCTTAGCTCCAAATGCCAGTGCTCTTCCTGCACCTCCGGCACCAACTACTATGAACAGTTTCCCGGAGAGCGGGGAAGGATGGAATGCTGCTCCGTTCGTCCACCCATTAACTGAAAGATTCAACTATTAAAGCTCATGTACTTTTTAGAATAGTACAGCTTTGAACTTAGCATGAGGCAACTTAATTATTAATTATATCAACAGGTGCAGTGTAAGGGATTTATAAAGATCCATACCTTTCGGGGTCAAAGCATCCTCTATAGCAGTTATGGAAGCCTCACAATCTGTGTTATAACCTATAAGCTTCCCATCGCTTGGCTGCCTAACAATAGTATTTACAGCCCCTATGGACTGATGAAACATACATGGAAGATAAGGTGAAGTCAATACTTAATAGGATGTTCAACAGTTCAATGACATTGTATATACCCCTCCGTCTGTCCCAGTAACTTTTTCACTTTCTTTTTGAAGTAACAAATTTGTGACTGACATTATTTTCCATACTCTTTAAAAATGTTAATTACGCAGTTTTTACTTTCTTATTTCATGTATGTCGTCAAACTTAATCAAATTTTATGGGAGAGAGGGAGTACTGAAAATCAACCGTGTTAGACTGTTATAGAGTAAGCATCAATTCAGACCTAATGCAACAGTTATGGTTCTCACACTTTCTATATAGTCAATGAGGATTTTTAATTACTGTCCCTTCTCAATGCAGAAAATGCATTAATTGCATATCGAGTTATGCATTGAAGTTTTTCTCCCTTTTTTTCCCCAACCTGAGCAAGTGGATGGACTTCATCGCAAAATTTGACTACTGCTTCCTTGTATGGTATCCCAACACTGCAATGTCCAGCAAGAAAGTAAAATGTGCTTAATTACTACTCCCTCCACCCCAAGAAAATAATCCTACTGTTAATTATGATTTCAGTATTACACAAAAAGACTCCTTTTTATGATTAACAAATCCGTGTTAGTTCATAGTAAAAGAAGAGAAAAATGCAAACCTGAAGCCACCAATATCAGGACTTGAATAGACCTTCAAAAACCCCTTTAGATCATCCACAAACATTGGAACATAAATCCCATTGTAACCCATGTGTCTGAATGTAGGGTTATGCAAGAGAGGCCCTTTGCTATGGCTCACCGGTTTCGAGATTAAGCCAAAAACTTTAGTATCTCCATCTATATCCTCAATTTGATATGCTCGTCTAAGGTGATCAATACTTGGCAAACCGGGAACCTGCGGATTCCCTTCAATGGATCCGTATACTATGACACTACCAAATTTAGGGCCCAACAGCTGACTTATAAGACCTCTTTCTCCAATAGAATAAGCAATAACTGGTACCTGTAAGCAACAATAAAAAAAACTCAATGCTTGTTTTTAAATTTTAAAAAAGTGTTTGTAGTTGAAATTCTTATTCTTATTCTTATTCTTCTTCCTCACTACCTGACAATGTGAAAGCACATGGAATAGTTTTGGAAGTTCTGTAATGTCACTTGCATTGATAACGACTTTAATGATATCCGCCCAGCCAGTAGATTGCATACGCGCAATAATGTCACTAAGATCTTCCTTTGAAGAGCTGAGGTTTTCAACATAGCATGATAAAATCATTTTACTTGATCCGGCCAGCCTCTTCTTTCTCTCTCTCTTTTCTTCTTCTCTCACCGTGAAATCATAGGCCATCTGATTCAGTAGCCACCGCAGGAAACTACATTACTGTTAATGAAGAATTCGGTTGCTATAACAAAATTGAAAGAAAAAAAACTATTAAAACTTTCATTGATGCATATGTTCTTTTATTTTGTGAAACTAAATTTATAGACTGAACAACTTGAATGGAGATACTTATGTCAACCTCTAAAGCGCTACCCAAACAGTTCAAACAAATAAACAATAATCGGATCAAACTCTAATACCATATAAGTTTGGGCCTAACTCCCCCGAAAAGGTAATATTTTACATAAATCTGGTAAACATCCAAAATGAGACACTTCAATAGTGATTGACCTCTTGGAGTATCAAACTTTGATGGTAATGAAAAGAGTAAATAAAAAAAGACAAACAGATATCATGCAGGGATATAGTGCTCAAGAAAATAATATGTATGTGATACTTCTGCAGTGATCAATTTTCTTGATTATTGTGAGTGTAAATTTGGGAAGCATTATAGTGCTAAGTGCACTAAAATCACCTTGAGATCAAAGTCAACATAATCTGCTCCCAGTTCTCTGGCTAGACAAAGAGTTTCAAGTTGCTTGTCATCATCATCACATTCAATGTTATCACCTTCCCATATTGGTCTGGAACTCAATCAACAACAATTTCAGCATCTCATGTTAAGAAGAATTATATATAAAGACATATATTTCAGAGTACATGCACTTGGACTTGGTAAGTATTACAAAATATGCTTTCTGATAAATAAATGGGGATCATGATGAGATGAGATGACTTAATTGTCCATTAAAGATGGATGAGATGACTTAATTGCCTATTAAAATTTGATAAAAGTAGTACTGCAATGCCTTTTTATATGTTGGCTTTAATCTTTATCTTTGGGATGTGAGATGAGAGGACTTAATTGTCCATTTAGAAAATCAATGAAGCAACTAGTTAAAATATCAAATTCAGGAACTTATTTTTTCACCCAAATCACAGTGCCTTAACTTATCTATTCGTTCTTCATGTTGTTTTAAACAACTTTAGCTACAATATCATTGTTAATTTGTTAAGACCCGGGATTCCATCCTAAAAGGTCAACCTGATAGGAGGAGTAGTCCATGTCTTAATATAGCACTTCGTTGATTCAAACATTTCCGGTGTGGGATTTAACACCCCTCTTCACGACCACACTCTTGGTCTGGATCGTGCCGTCATTCATCTTTTTTCGTCAATTCGTCATTGTCATTTTTTTTATAATCATTTCAATCATTTTTCATAAGGGGACCCACACCATGGATCGATTTGGCTCTGATACCATGTTAAGACATGAGGTTTCATCCTCAAAGGTCAACCTGATAGAAGGAGTAGCCCATGTCTTAATATAGCACTTCGTTGACTCAAACATTTCCGGTGTGGGATTTAACATAATTGTTATCCCCATCAACTTTTCTCCGCTAGCTCACTATTAAATTATTATTATTATTATCATTATTATGATTATTTATGGTGTAAAATGAAGATAAGTGAAAAGAAGGAAGGCCCTCTCAAACGGCAAATTATACCGTGGGATCGGTATACCTTGCTCATGATATACCCATCCCAAATACGGTACGGTTTTATAACAAATGGAACACACGATAAGTCACGCTCTTTCTCTAGTTGCCCATCCGCACTTCTTAGACCCTCCTTTTTTTGTTTATCAAAAGCTATCATGTTATCTTTCTCTTTAGTCCACAAACTAGCATCCTCCACATCCTCCACTATCGTTTCTTTAGTTTTTTCATTATTAAAAGCTATCATGTTGGGAATATTTTATGGTGTCCAATCTAATTAAATACCGTTGTATTTGTGTAGTTATTAATTAAATGTGTAATATGAGTCACAAATGTATTTCAGCCCATTAGCCCACTTGTAAGCCTTAAGTTAGACATCCTTATGTATAAAAGGATGCTAACTTAAGCAAACCCGAACTCTCACATAAGCCTCTACGCACATTAACGCACATATCATTTTGTAAGGCTTTCACGGTATAAGGAAGAGGGAGTTCATCGTTCCAATACTGTTAAATCATTTTGTGATTCTCCGCTTCTATTATATTGTATGATTGTTGATTGATTTTGGGACTAACATATCATATTTCCAAATGATTTTTTTTAATTCAGGAACGTTGGAATGTATGTGTTACAATTTTGTGATCAATTTTCATCCATTCAAAATAAATTAATTACTTTTTCTTTCTATCTTAGTCCTTGTTCATTCACTTTTTTATTTTTTTTCTTCAACTGAAATTAAAACCAAAAATTAAATATTTTTTCTTCAAAATAAATATTTTTGTATTATACACTTTTTTGTGATATATTTTTTCATATTCATACATTTTTTCCGATAATATATTTCTTATCTCTTTTATATGTTTTTAGTGTTTTTAAGAAATTAAATTTATTTATCGCGATTTACATTTGATAAAATATAAGATTACATCTTCATATTTGTGGGGGAAATTATCATTGACCTCCCTTGAGGTTTGATGCATTATCAATCACACCCTTATACTATCAAAAATATAATCTTACCTCCCTCTCTATACTTTAATGATGGTTAAATAACTCTTAATCTATATTTAGAGAAAACTATATAGATGTAATTTCATAATTTTTCATTATGTCCGCTTTTAATACTGTAATTTTGTTCTATCACAAATCTGGTCAGGTAATTAATAAAATTGTCCATACTAAAGACCTTTTTATCAGAAGTCGAACAAAATAAAAAAATGACCAAAACTGACCTCACTTTAGGTAGTTCATTTTATGTCTTTGAATTTGTAAAGTGAGTAAATTTACTCAATTCAAAATGATCAAAATATGCTAATTTGTCAAAAATTGAAACAAATAAACTTAAATGAACCAAACGGACTCAAAAGTGAAGTTTACTACTCGATTTTACCATTAAAAATTGAATACAAGAAAATTCCCAATTTGCACTCTAGACACTCTTTGTTATCATTAGAAATGAGATCATTATAGGTATAATAATAACATGTAAATTAATATTTACAAAATATAAACATGTTTACAATCTCCTAATTGGTCTAGGTTCACTCCCGATAATTCAAATATTGTTTAGGACCGGTTCAGCACCCAAACTTGTTAGTGCTAAATAATTATGGCGGCCCGTGACGTTATCTTCGGTTCCAATCTCCTAATTGGTCTAGGTTCACTCCCGATAATTCAAATATTTTAACTACCTATTTTTCAACTTTTAAATGGGCTATAACTCATTTTATAATGTTCTCGGTGCTTTTAATGAAAAAAATGAATGGGGTCAAAAATGGGCTCCAATCCCGGTCCCAAAAGTGAGCCCGGAGGCCTCTTTTTCACCGGTCTGATCTCGGTCCCGACCTAAATTCTTAATTTAAAAATCGGCCATTCCTGAGACCGGGCTTTGTCCTTCCCTAATATGAATCACACAAGTAGGAATTTTCCATACGAATTTATAATAGGTGACAATAGTCTCCTAAAAGTTCTTCACCAAAATCTGTTTTAGGTATAGTATAACATTCTTCGTTATTGGGCATCTTTCCCTCGTTAGAAAAGTTTCACCAAGATTTGTACAATCTCATATATATTTTTGAACTTTTAAAAGTAATAGAGATTTATTGTTTTAAGTTCGTACATTTCGGTTGTGTCTGCTACTAGTAGTATAATTTTACTCCCATGTAGATGTCGTTATCTACATAATACATTTTTCAATAATAAGGACTATTTCATTGGAAATTACGTGTTTCTGCAAAAAAGTACTTTATGGTGGAAATATTCTTAATACATGTAAATTTATTAATTATCAAATAAAATCTGCAAGTGAGTAAACTTATAAAACTAAATTTATACGTTTGCTAAACGTAATTAATAGTTATTAAACTTTTATTAAAGAATAGGGAGGGGGTAAACGTATATTTTTAATAATGCAGGGGTCTAAGTGATAATACCTGAAACCTCGAGGGAGTCCAATGATAATTTCTCTATTCGTGGTTTAGATTTCTACATTAGTGAATTATGTTTATAGACAATTTCTGGAGTTACATTTGATAGTATATGAAGTTACATCTTCATGTGTGTAAGTTACATCTTGTTATGCGTGACTTACATCTTGCAATGTACGAGTTATATTTGGACTCGCCTCAAAAAGTTACATTTTGCATACACCTAAATTAGATTTTCCATCAACGCGAGTTACATTTTTCATAACACGAGTTAGATCACAAAAAATATGATTTTTTTTGGCAAAGGAAATGAATTTTCTTAAAAACATTTTTTATGGTCTTAAAATAAAAAGCAAGACATATTCACTATTTAAGTAAATGAATTGAGCAATTAGACTTCTTATTTTCATTGTTTAAATTTGATAGTGTATCAAGTTACATCATCTTATGCGGGAGTTACATCTTTTTATGCATTAGTTGCATCTTCCTATGTGCGAATTACATTTGTATTTGTATCAACAAGTTATATTTTGCATACACCTAAGTTAGATTTTCTTTAACATGATTTACATTTTTCATAACACGAGTTATATCACAACTTGACCCTTGCTATTGAATAAAAAAATGATTTTTTTTTTTGCAAAAAAAAAAACATTTTTGGCAGAAAAAATTAAAAAATGATTTTTAAAAAATATGTTTTATGCACTTAATATAAAAAACATGTTCCCTATTTCATAAAGTAATTGAGCAATTAGACTCCTTATTTCATTGTTTACATTGTAATTAATGTTTTATTTGTTATACATCGTATTAGACAAGTTACATTTCGGCTTGTCTGCAGTTACATTTCCTATCAACGTGACTTACATTTGTTTACACGCGAGTTACATCACCCTGCTACTGGAACAATTAAAAAACAAAAACATAAAGTTATTGTTCACGCGTGAACAGTAACACGCGAATTTTGGTTGTGGGAACACCACGCTCACTCAGGGCTGCTCAGTGGCGGATGTCTTTGGTTCAAGGGTGTTCAGCTGAACACCCAAAAACTTGAAAATAAAGTGTAAAAATACATATAAAATTGATGCAATAATTTATATATTGTATTTTTTATACAATATTTCTTATTCTGAACCCTATTTGCTAGTTTTGTGTAGTTCAAAAAATTACATTTATTCAATTGTTGGATCAAATAATATTATTGAATAATATTTTAAATTTAAAATAATTTTTAATACCCCACATTTAATTGCAAGATCCGTCACTGGGGCTGCTCCCACGATATACCAACTGCTCCCAAACCTAGTCCTAACTCCTAAGTCCTAACACACCTTCCGGTCCTATTACAGTGCTCTTATCTGAGTTGGAAAAACTGTAGTCAAATTTAAGTTAAGTTTTAAAGATAATAATTAAGAAATAGACAATAGAACCTACTAGTCTATGGTAGTTGTGGATTCTTATTGTCAACAAATTGGTTTGATGTGAGTCAACTTTACATGGAGTTGGTTCACCAACCATTAAACTTTTACATGGAGCCGGAATTTCATCAAATTTGTAAGACTTTAGCTGATTAAATCAATTTTATTGTTACCAAATGTACTTTAAATTCGTGATAGACACTCTCCAATTTTTAGGAAAAAATATTTTGTAGGTGGAACA